CCTTCCTTTGGCCTCAGACTTTAAAAGAATGGGACAGGCAGCCTTGACACCTTCCCTGGTGGCTGCGAAATTAAGATGGGAAATTAAGAACAGCACTGTTTAGGGCAATGGATTCTGGATCCCGCGAGACTTGTCAATGATGTCACTTCCATTATCAGCAAACCCCAAAGCCACCACTCCTACTGTCTCCCATCTCCCAGCTCTAGGGTCCCAAAGGGGAGCCATCTTGAAGAGCCCCAGCAGGCCTGACTCCAGGGAGGGGATGAGGGTTTAATGAGTCAAGGCTCAGCTCCTCTCCAGCTCTTTCCACCAAGCCCAGGTGTGACAACTGCACAGATCACTGGGTAGACCAGATTTGGCAGGTGAGTTCGATGAGGATGGAGGACCAGAGACAGGCAAGGGCTGAGGTGGAGGAGAAAGTCAAGGACACTGGGAACGTGTAGGGTCATAGTGCAGTCTGGAGACACTCACTTAATTGTGTGGATATCCCGGTCACAGGAGGCACATTAGCTGTGCACCTGGTCTGCATGACCCTGGGTCAGACACTGTGACGAGCCCATCAGAGATGCGTATCTGTAGGTGCATCTGGGAGGAGGGACTTGGCAGGAGGCGAAGCCCATGACTACAGAGACCTGGAGGTGCTTAATGAATTACAGCAGAGGGACTTCAGGTCAGAGAGGCAATGGGGAAACCAGGTCTAAGCCAGAAGCCAATTGACTTACGTTCTGTGCTCATGCACACCTCCTTTTCCATGGCAACAGTATAACCCGAGCCTGTGAGAGCATGTGTGGACTGTCAGGCTGTAGGGAAATGCAATGACCCCGTGACTGATGAATCAAGCTTGCAGCTGGGTTTTAAAACAGAGCCTGGCTTGTGGCGGGGAGGGGGCTGGCTCTGTCAGTAAAATGTTTACAATACAAGTGTGAGGACCTGAGTTCAGATCCCCAGCACTCCCATTAAAGCAGGGCATGGTAGCCCCCAGTTATAACCCCAGCGCCAGGGGAAGGGAAGGACAGATGACAGTCAGTGCAGCTGAATCAGAGAGCTCCAGATCTGGTGAGAGACCCTTCCTCAGAAAAGCAAGGAGAGGGGCTGAAGACAGCACTCCACGTTGGCCTCTGGCTTCCACAAGTGCTTGCACATTGAACACACACACACACTAACACACTAATTAGTGGAATTCTTAACGTACATCTCAGGGGCTTGGGCCGTGGGATAAACTCTTTTTCAGCCAGATGCACAGAGGACCTCAAAAGCGTTTATTGAACTGGAGGAGGTCTTCTCTAAATGCTCATTTTACAGATGTGGAGACTGAGCTCAGAGCCCCAAAGACAGTAATCAAGGTAGAAGGCTGATCCAGCATCCAGGACTCTTGGTTACCAGGTGGGTTCAGATCTTTGTGGCTGGCTGGCTAAAGAAACAACCTCTCTGGGTGTGGCCTTGGGTGAGGGTCTGACCTCTCCTAATCCTCGGTTCCTTCATTTTCTGGGGAAGCATAAGCGCGGCCCAGCAGGACTGTGTGGTAGGGATGCTGTCTGTGGGGTGTGGCCTCAGCCTGGGTATTTGGATGATTGCTTCCTCTCTTCCTCTCTGGCTCACTAATGGCCTCTTAGAGAATTCCAGCAGGGAAAACCCTACCAGAGAGATGGCCTCTTCATAGCTTTAGTAGCCTGAAGCACCCAAAATACCTTTGGAATGTGTAATTCAGAATAAAATTACTCCGAGCTACAGAATAACGGTAGAAAGGAATCTATGCCGATGCTTTCTAAAACACAGTAGCAAATGTCAAATTCTTCCGGCAGCCTTTTCAGGGCTCCCAGACTTTGTGAGCTCCAGCACGCTCCGCTGGAACACCATCTTAGGGGAGCAAATACTTCCGGTGCTTTTGGGGTGAGTACAAAAGCCTCAGCATGTTAGGCTGCTCAGTGGTCCAGGTTTATAGGGCTGCTAGACTCACTGCAGACTTATCCCTGGCCCGAGGGGGAGGGGCGGCTGATCCCTGAGACCGTCTGCTAGTTTATTCCTGCTACCGTCAGTCCAATTCCCCTGTGATCTTGGGACAATCGCAGTCCATTTCGGGGCCCCATTCTGTGTCCCCTTCCGTATAACGAAAGGGTTGGGTTAAAGCAATTTCATTGATTTCGTTACTAATGGCTTCTTCCTCACTGCTGCATGATCCCCATCAAAATGAGACAAGCTGAAGGAGCCACACAGTGGCTCCCGCCTGCAGTAACAGCTCCTGGGAAGAGCTGGGGCGCCTTGGTCAGTAGAAACACACAGGCTCTATTACCACCCCGAAAGTGCTCCCGACTGGGGCAGCCAGAGTCACTGGTGATGAAGGGACGCGCAGGGACTTTGGGAGCCCCTGAGCCAAACAGAATCGGGGAAAGCTTCTTGGAGGAGGTGACATCTGAGATAGTGTCGTAGAAGTACAGGACGAGAGGAAGGGCTTGTGGGTGCCAAATATTGAGCTGGGAATATTTGGTGGTCCAGACCCGCCTCTGCAAGGAGTTCGCTGGTTTCTCCATTTCCTCCACACCGACCTCTCCCACTGTTTAGTAGATGGAGCAGAGTGGGGAAGAGGATGTAGTTGGATTCGACGGTTTTCAGCGTCTGTCCTTTGAGATCCAACTTAACCCAAGACTGTGACATTCCATATACTGTTGACTTCTCTGCCTTTTCAAGGCATCCCGGGGAATGTGGTTTGCATCTCTTCGGCATTAGGGAACCAGGTGGCAGGCACCTGCAGGCTGGATCTAGGTTGCTGTGAGTTAATTCTCTGCTGTTTTGCTTCCCGGCCCAGACTATGGAGGTGACTCCCAGACGCTTTCAAAGGGTCAGAAAAACATGTCACCATGCTTCCTTGTTAGTGGAGACACCGACTTCACTTCACACTTGACGAGACTCACAGGTGTCCTCTGAGAACGATGATCCACCAATGAAATGACACTGTTGGCTGGAGGAGCAGAGGAATGAAGGAACTCTATGCCTCCTCTCCTGACACCCTGGCCTCCAGGCTCCCTGAGCAGAGAAGTCAAAACACAGGGTCAATGGAGAGAAGTCCAGGCTCAGTCCTAGCTGTGGCCAAAGTCAGTGTTAACTTGAACCAGACCTGGACCTATTCATCAAGTTCTTAATTTCAAATATTGGAAACTTTAGTTCTGGGATATTTCTTAATAGACTCCAAGTTTCTGTGGAAATTCTCTATGTTTTTTAGTCATTTTTACAAACATTTTCCTCTATACAATTTAAGTATTCATACTAATGTTCTTGTTTACTCATTTAGGTATCTGGACTTTTAAAATCAATTTATTTTTATATTTTACTTTTTTATTTTGCAATACTGGGAACTGAACCCACGGCCTTGTACGTGCTAAGTAAATGCTCTACCGTGGGGCTTGTTTGCCCCCAGTCTTAGACCGTCTGTATACCATTTATAGTGTATTTTCCTCTTGGTCATATTTTCCTGACTTTGCCTGTCTGATATTATTGTGGGCTGAATGTTATTAACGACAGATTCACCCGACACTTCGGATGACAGGCGTGCCTCACCTGCCACACCTCCCGTTTCTCTCTTAGGCAGGCAGTCGGGTGCTGAGCACTTTGGGGTAATTGGTGCTTGAATTGGTTTTCCGGTTGCTTCAGTCCCAGGAAGAGTAACCTTTCCTGGGGTGTGGTTCTCTGTCCTCTCAATGATGCCCGTGAGAGAGGTGCTTCATTCTGGAGGGTACCAGGAAGCTCCTTAGCTGCCCTTCCCATGCCTCCTCACCCTGCCTTCCCACATCTACATAGCTTCAGATACTTGGGAAATTTGAGAGAAGAACAGAGTATATGTGAAGGGTAAGCCCTCCCCTCTGGCCTTTTAAGTCTCAGTGGCTCCTGGGGAGATCTTAGTCTTCTAGAAGAACGGTAAAACCTAGTCCTCCAGCTCCTTCTGCACAGCCCCAGAATTCATATTACTTTAAGACTAGTCCTACATTCTGGGTGCTTTAATCCACTTTGTAAGCCTCTTTTGATTGACAGAAGCTTGCTGGTTTCTCTCGTATACCCAAGTTCCCATGCCTAATTCCAGTCATCCCAATGATGGCCATCAAATCAAATACTCTCTTAGGAGAGAGGATGATTGTATATTTGCTATGGAAGGTCCCCAAGCCTGTGAAAGTCCAATCGTACCATCTTATTAAATCTGTGCCTCTTCAGTTTGATTTTTAGAATGTGATGGTACAAACCTGTAATCCCAGCCCTTGGTAGGCTGAGGCAGGAGGCTCAGGAGTTTAAGATCAGCCTTAGGTACATGGTGAAGCAAAGCCAAGCTACAAGAGATCCTATCTCAGCAAAATGACTTACGTCTTTTATCCAGGTTTTCCTAGTTGTTACATTGGCGTGCCGGCTGCCATGGCCGAACACACCTTGTTAGAAAGCAGAGGTCTGGATACCCAGTTCCCATGCGGTCTCAAGAGTCTCAGGTCCAGGAGCACAAGCAAGGAGGTGGCCTGGTGAATGTCTGAACTGCAGTGTGCTACCGAGAACCTCGGACAAAGCTGTCCCTCCGAAGCCACGCACTGGAACTGTGAGTGAGTGGCAAAGTCAAGCGTGGGTTGAAGACCTTGGTGTCAGAGTTACAACAACCTAAGTCATGTAGTGTGGAGTCTGAGATAAGCCCCAGAGGGAGTCTTCCCAAAGTACTTTAGTGACGGTGACAATGACCAACCAACTTTTTACCTTGACTTTCTCACAGGAAAGTTGAGGTTTGGCCATTGTCACCTAAGCCACGAATAACAACTTCTGTTTGGTAGACTGCTAATTGGTATTCGGCAGAATTGGGGCTCAGATGGTAGAAGTCAATCCACAGCTCACCACCAGTCCTCTGGAGTTGGTTATAAATAACTGTGCTCAGACTAATGAAGGATAAACCTTATGGAATCACTACAATGGAATCCTTTCCCTGTATTTCAGATGTCCCAGCCATCCATGACCCAGATCACCAGTTCTATCCCACTATGGAGGCTACAACCTGCAACGGATCAGTAGATGGCTCTACCGTCTTCTACCTGGTGGGCATCCCCTCTTTACCAGAGCCCTTCCACCTCCCCGTCTTCTTCCTCTTCCTCCTCTTCTACCTGCTCATCCTGGCGGGGAACACCCTGATCCTGGTGGCCGTGGTGACAGATCCCAGCCTCCACAAGCCCATGTACTTCTTCCTAGTCAACCTCTCAACCCTGGACATCCTTTTCACCACAACCACGGTCCCTAAGATGCTGTCCCTCTTCCTGTTAGGAGATCACTTCCTCACCTTCCCTTCCTGCTTACTGCAGATGTACCTCTTCCAAAGCTTCACCTGTTCAGAAGCCTTCATCCTGGTGGTCATGGCCTATGACCGCTATGTGGCTATCTGCCGCCCTCTGCACTACCCTGTCCACATGACCCCACAGACAAACGCTGCCCTGGCAGCCAGTGCCTGGATCACCGCCCTCCTCCTGCCTGTCCCAGCAGTAGTGAAGACATCTCAGATGGCATATAATAGCGTTGCCTACATCTACCACTGCTTCTGCGACCACCTGGCTCTGGTCCAGTCCTCCTGCTCAGACACCAACCCCCAGACCCTCATGGGCTTCTGCATCGCCATGGTGGTGTCCTTCCTCCCCCTCCTCCTGGTGCTTCTCTCCTACGCCAGCATCCTGGCCTCAGTGCTTCGTATCAATTCCAGGGAAGGGCGTTCCAAAGCCTTCTCCACCTGCAGCTCCCATCTCCTGGTGGTGGGCACCTACTACTCCTCCATTGCTGTAGCCTATGTGGCCTACAGGGCTGATCTGCCCCAGGACTTCCACATCATGGGCAATGTAGCCTATGCTATCCTCACACCAATTCTCAACCCTCTCATCTACACCCTGAGGAACAAGGACGTCAAATCAGCCATTACAAAAATTGTTTATCTCAAAAGCGTGACATGAATATTTGCCCTCTTAATGCAGCTAACTCTATCCCTAGGACTCAAACCAGCAATGTTAGCTCAGAGAAGAAACTCAATAAATACTACAAAATGGCCAAGTTAATGAATGTAATGTTGTACAATAAAAATTCACTCAAGCAAATAGCCCTAACTTCAGTCTTCACAGCTTGGTTCATGTTTGTTTCTTCTGTGCAACGAAATAATGTTAACCTTTCTTTTTATAAGAATCTGAGGTTATATAAAAGTTTCACTACTTAATAATTAAAAACCATTTGCTAAAGTAAAAAAAAAATCTGCACAGCAAGAAAAAATTCTGTACATACAAAGTGTATTTAAAAATTGGAAGCTATAATTCTGGAAACAATCTAGATGCCCCTCAACCAAAGAATGGATAAAGAAAATGTGGCACATTTACACAATGGAGCATAACTCAGCTGTAAAAAAAAAAAATGACATCATGAAATTTGCAGGCAAATGGATAGAATTAGAAAAAAGATCATCCTGAGTGAGGTAACCCAGGCCCAGAAAGACAAACATGGCATGTTCTCACTCATAAGTGGATATTAGATTTAAAGTAAAGAATACCCAGACTACAGCCCACAGCCCCAGGGAGGCTAGGTAACAAGGAGGGTCCAAAGAGGGACTCATGGATTTACCTAGAAGGGGAAATAGAAGAGATCTCCTGGGTAGACTGGGGGCATGGGGTGGAGGGGACATGAAAAATAGAGTGGAGCAGGTTGGGGGCTGGTTGGAGGGGGAGAGTAATGAAAGAGATGTCTTGATGGGGGTGGGGTGTTATAACAAATAAAGCTTTCCTGAAGATCAGAGTTCAGAGCTAAGCCACTAGTTAGCCACAGAGGTCAGGCAGTAGTAGCACACACCTTTAATCCCAGCACTCAGGAGGCAGAGGCAGGTGGATATCTGTGAGTTCAAGGCCACCCTGAGCTACATGAGATTGATCCATGATGTGGGATTCCCCTCTGTATGCTGTGAATACCATTGGTTAATAAAGAAACTGTCTTAGGCCTGTGATAGGGTAGAGTAGAGCTAGGTGGGGAAAACTAAACTGAATGCTGGGAGAAAGGAGGCAGAGTCAGGGAGAAGCCATGGAGCTGCCAGACATAGACATGCTAGAACCTTGCCGGTAGGCCACAAGCCTCATGGTAAAATAGAAAATAATGGAAATGGGTTCAAAATTAAAATGTACGCTTGGCTTCTGACAAACAATGGTCATAGGCACACAAAAACACCTCTACATTTGTATGAGTTACTTTTCTCATAACTGTGATCAAAATACCTGGGAGAACAGTATGAAGGGCAGATTTCTCTTCCTCACTAGTTAGGAGCCAAGAATTCACACATGAGCTGTGGGGCACCTTCCAAATTCAGATCTAATAGACCGCCAGTCATTGCCCATGAAGTTGTTACTAATCTGAACATACAATAGAAAAACTGAACCTGTACAAAACCACCACCTTATCAAGTAGAAAAATGTCATATTGGGCTCAAACAGACCCAGAACGTATAAGTTGCATGAGCAAGCAGTTCAGACTTCACTGATATCCAGTCTCAAGGCATTCATATTTTTTTTTAACTAACTCTAACTATGGCCTTATTGGAAAATCTCTAGAATCAAATACCTTGGTAGGGGTGGACCTCAGAAAAGGAATTCAAATCTTTCTTTAAATAGGCTGTGTTTTAAAAATTGACCCAGGACTGCATTACAACCAATAAAGGAAACAAATTCTATCAGTGGGCATATTCTATGAGAGGGTCTCTGATTTTTCATCTAAGCTTAGCCCCCTAAAAAGTGAAATCCAAAGAGATCTGGCCAATCACAGTCACTAGGCTGCCACCATACAAGTGGTTGCTCACATGCAATAAAGTAGACGCTGCTCCCTGAAACCGTCTCCAGAGTGGTTTATCTCTGTGCCCTTTAGTGACCCACAGGCATTGCTGTCTGGCCCAGGGATGCCTAAGTAATGATGGAAAATAATTGTGAATGTATTTATGTCCCATGTGACTGTTATGTTTCCAAACGAAAGTTTCTGTGTATTTATTAAGACAGTGCCTTTAATGTAAGCACAGCTTGTTCCACAGACCATCATCTATGTACTGTTATATATCTGGAGACTACTGAATGTATCAAGGCAGGCTCCATCTGTGAAAAGCCTGGAGTTCAAATAAGCTCTTCAGAAGTCTGAGGACCAGCGTGGTCCATTCATTAGGGCGTTGCCGTCCTCATTCTTGGGGGTGAAACTTCAGTAAGAAAAAGCCATGGTCTGCCTTTTAATTATGTGCAAGCTAGAAAACACTGTACCAGAGGGAACATGGCCATTGGCCGGCCTCTTTCATAGTCAGTTCCGGCGCAGGACTGAGGTCAAAGAAGAAACGCCTGTGTTGCCTGCTGTCGGCGTTGGTGTAAGAATCTTGATTCTATGTGTTCACCACTCAACAAGTAGAGCCACAAGCTTCAGATTGTCTTTCCTCAATAGGGCAATGTATAAACCGTATAAACTTGCCTTCACGAACCAATCTGTGAAGCACATCCCAAACACGAACCTTCCCATCCTTAGAAGTGAGGTAGATACAGCGACCGGCAATTATCTTCAGGCTACCAATCAGTTCTTTTGGTCTTAATTGGTAGCAAGTGAGACTATTTAACGATGCTATTGATGGGTAAGAAAGGCCCATCTGATAGAAATCCCCTCACTATTTTCTTTCTCAAACATCTTACTTAACATGCAGGATTTAACTTTCTAGCTGGCGTCTCATGGATACAAAGGACCTTATTGTGGGTACTCTCGGCTAAAACCTCATCTACATCAGCGCTAAAACAAGCCTTAAGGATGGGAAAGTTGCCTAAACAGAAGCTCTGGCTTTTAGGATTTGTTTTGACGTCAATCCAAAACAAGGCAAGAGAGTGATCTAATCCAGGGACCATCGCTATCTATCTGTGTGGGTGGAACTGCAGCACTGAGCTCCAAACAGTGCTCAGGCTTTGGCATCAAGAGTTCCAGCAGGACTTCAAGATGCCCCTTGGAAGAGAAGTTGCTATGGATATGACCTCCCCAGCCTTACAGAAGATCGTCTCCCTCCTCCTCACATCCCTCAAGCAATGTCTGCTGTTTGGAAGTCTCTGTGCAGATAACCTCCCACTCCCAATCCCTTGGCATGCTGGATTCAACTCTTTTCTAAAGTTTCTTTTGTCTTGTCTTTTCAAACACAGGTTCTCATGAGGTAGCCCAGGCTGGTGTGGAACTCCTGATCCTCTGGCTGCCACCTGCCAAGCACTGGGGTTACAGGATTTGCACCACAGCACTCAGTTGAGAAGTTTACCTTTCCAGAATTTACCTCCGTTAGCATTTCCATTGTTTCTTTTGAGAGCTGGTACTCATTGTGTCAAGGATTTCCTGTCCTCATCATTATCCACCCAAATAACTTCTTCTAAGAGGAAAAGTATCTTTTGCTTCACTCTCTACTTCAGAGTCATCCAAGTGTCTACAGAGATGGACCTGTAGCCTTCACAGCTGTCTTCATCTTCTTCGTGACCACAGGGCAGGCACCGGTCCATAGCTGGCTCCTCCACCAGCATCAGATGGTTCCACAACAGGAGTCGGCTATCTGATGCCATCAATTCTGGTGCCTGCTCTGCCCTATGTGACTTCTAAAGGGTAGCCATGGAAGAAAAATGTTCTATAAGCAGGAGTGCACAAAGTGAGGTAGACAAGATGGCCCTGGCCCTGAAAGGTTAAAGGCTTCCCACTTTGCCAACACCTCAGTGTTTATACAAGAGATTAATGGCACCTATGTTCGTGCATAACTATAATTAAACTCAGTGGGTCACAAACAAAACAAAACAAGGCAAGAACAACAACAAAAAAGGCATGAAAATAAGAGGGGAACTTGGGAAAAAGAAGGGGTACAGTATGAGTGGGGGTGGGGATGAGAGAGGATGGGAGGTGAAAATGAACAAAATACATTTTATGAAATGTATGCATGAAATTTTCAAAGAATAAAGAAATAGAACTTTGGAAGAGCCACGAATAACAGGCCCCAATGGTGTGGAGGGAGGCTGAACGTGGGCCCAGATCAAGGCTGACCGGGTTCATCTGCTAAGAACCCAAGATGCCAACAACAAAGGCTGATAATGCCCTCACTCAGGATTGGGAATGACCAGCACTCAAGAGAGCCAGGCAGCTGTGAATAATGCTGGACCTCTTTCATCGTGAAGGGTCACTATTTATTTTTACAGAATGGAAACCCATTCTGAACACGGATTTGCCCTTCTTGCTCACAGTGTATCTGCCACCATCGCCGGGCATTTAATAAATGCCTTATGTGTAATTTCTCGTAACCGTGACAAAATGATTGATAAAGTCAACCTAAGGGTCGACTTGGACTCATCGTTTTAGAGGTTTTGTGCCAAGGTTGCTTGGTTCCATGGGCTTGTGTCAAGGCACAGTAAAGCTGTGCATCTCATGATGGACGTGAACACATGCCTCCACTTCCTAGTTTATACCACTTTGCACCAGCACCATCAAATTATGAGTCCATAGATGAATAAATCCACCGAGGAAGTGAGAGTTGTCATGATCCAATCACTCCCCCACATCACACTGACTAACAGCCCAGCCTTTAACACATGAGCCTTCTGGAGACTGTAATAACTTACTCATCACAACGATTTCCTGGGTGACCTTGCTTTTGACAAAGGCACACAATTCATAGCAGGAGAAGCGAGGCAGCAAGGTTCATGCACATGAGAATCACAGCTCTTACAATACAGCCCATCACTCAGAAATGAGTAGCTGTACTGAAGGGACCAATAACAGAGTGAACAACACTCAGCTTGGTTAGCTGACACTAGCTAGGAGGGTGTATGGGTGCTGTTTGATAAATTAAGCCCATACTCTTAACAAACAACCAGTAAACGTGGCAGTTTTCAGTCTGTGCAGAATATACAGGATTAGGATGTGTCTTCCTCCCTAGCCCTGAGAG